AAAACAGTCTATTATTTTTTCGAGTCAAATAAATCGATTTTTCCAAGTTTTTATTCGGAATAATCTATTTTTTTTTTTTCGGTTCCAATTCGAAACAATCGATTTTTTCGAATTCTAAGTCGAAATAATTTATTTTTCAAGTTAATAGTAAAAAAAATCGATTTTTCCGAGTTCTAATTCGGAATAATCTATTTTTTCCAATTCTAATTCGAAACAATTGGTTTTTCCGAGTTCTAATTCGAAATAATCTATTTTTTCGAGTTTTAATTCGGAATAATCTAATTTTCTTCAGTTCTAATTCGAAATAATCGGTTTTTCCAAGTTCCAAGTCGGAACAATCTTTTTTCCGAGTTGAAATTCAGAAAAATCGTTTTTTTTCCTACTTTTAATTCGGAATAATCTATTTTTTCCCAGTTCTAATTTAAAACAATCGGTTTTTTCGAGTTCTAAATCGGAATCATCTATTTTTCCGAGTTCTAGGTCAAATAAATCGATTTTTCCAAGTTTTAATTCGGAATAATCTATTTTTTTTCGGTTCTAATTCGAAACAATCGATTTTTTTCAAATTCTAAGTCGAAATAATTTATTTTTCCGAGTTAATAGTCCGAAATTTTTTTACAATTTTTTACAATTGTACTTCGAAACAATTGGTTTTTCCGAATTCTAAGTCGAAATAATCTATTTTTTCGAGTTGATATAGTCAGAAAAATCGATTTTTTTGAATTCTAAGTCGGAATAAACTATTTTTTAAAGTTCAGAGTCAGAAAAATTGATTTTTCTGAGTTTTAATTCGAAATAATTATATTTGCCCAGATCGAATTCGAAACAAACAGTTTTTCCGAGTTCTAAGTTAGAAAAGTCTATTTTTCCGAGTTGAAAGTCAAATAAATCGATTTTTCCAAGTTTTAATTCGGAATAATCTATTTTTTCGAATTCTATTTCGGAACAAACTATTTTTTTGACTTCTGTGTCAGAAAAATCGATTTTTCTGAATTCTAAGTCAAAACAGTCTATTATTTTTTCGAGTCAAATAAATCGATTTTTCCAAGTTTTTATTCGGAATAATCTATTTTTTTTTTTCGGTTCCAATTCGAAACAATCGATTTTTTCGAATTCTAAGTCGAAATAATTTATTTTTCAAGTTAATAGTAAAAAAAATCGATTTTTCCGAGTTCTAATTCGGAATAATCTATTTTTTCCAATTCTAATTCGAAACAATTGGTTTTTCCGAGTTCTAATTCGAAATAATCTATTTTTTCGAGTTTTAATTCGGAATAATCTAATTTTCTTCAGTTCTAATTCGAAATAATCGGTTTTTCCAAGTTCCAAGTCGGAACAATCTTTTTTCCGAGTTGAAATTCAGAAAAATCGTTTTTTTCCTACTTTTAATTCGGAATAATCTATTTTTTTCCCAGTTCTAATTTAAAACAATCGGTTTTTTCGAGTTCTAAATCGGAATCATCTATTTTTCCGAGTTCTAGGTCAAATAAATCGATTTTTCCAAGTTTTAATTCGGAATAATCTATTTTTTTTCGGTTCTAATTCGAAACAATCGATTTTTTTCAAATTCTAAGTCGAAATAATTTATTTTTCCGAGTTAATAGTCCGAAATTTTTTTACAATTTTTTACAATTGTACTTCGAAACAATTGGTTTTTCCGAATTCTAAGTCGAAATAATCTATTTTTTCGAGTTGATATAGTCAGAAAAATCGATTTTTTTGAATTCTAAGTCGGAATAAACTATTTTTTAAAGTTCAGAGTCAGAAAAATTGATTTTTCTGAGTTTTAATTCGAAATAATTATATTTGCCCAGATCGAATTCGAAACAAACAGTTTTTCCGAGTTCTAAGTTAGAAAAGTCTATTTTTCCGAGTTGAAAGTCAAATAAATCGATTTTTCCAAGTTTTAATTCGGAATAATCTATTTTTTCGAATTCTATTTCGGAACAAACTATTTTTTTGACTTCTGTGTCAGAAAAATCGATTTTTCTGAATTCTAAGTCAAAACAGTCTATTATTTTTTCGAGTCAAATAAATCGATTTTTCCAAGTTTTTATTCGGAATAATCTATTTTTTTTTTTTCGGTTCCAATTCGAAACAATCGATTTTTTCGAATTCTAAGTCGAAATAATTTATTTTTCAAGTTAATAGTAAAAAAAATCGATTTTTCCGAGTTCTAATTCGGAATAATCTATTTTTTCCAATTCTAATTCGAAACAATTGGTTTTTCCGAGTTCTAATTCGAAATAATCTATTTTTTCGAGTTTTAATTCGGAATAATCTAATTTTCTTCAGTTCTAATTCGAAATAATCGGTTTTTCCAAGTTCCAAGTCGGAACAATCTTTTTTCCGAGTTGAAATTCAGAAAAATCGTTTTTTTCCTACTTTTAATTCGGAATAATCTATTTTTTCCCAGTTCTAATTTAAAACAATCGGTTTTTTCGAGTTCTAAATCGGAATCATCTATTTTTCCGAGTTCTAGGTCAAATAAATCGATTTTTCCAAGTTTTAATTCGGAATAATCTATTTTTTTTCGGTTCTAATTCGAAACAATCGATTTTTTTCAAATTCTAAGTCGAAATAATTTATTTTTCCGAGTTAATAGTCCGAAATTTTTTTACAATTTTTTACAATTGTACTTCGAAACAATTGGTTTTTCCGAATTCTAAGTCGAAATAATCTATTTTTTCGAGTTGATATAGTCAGAAAAATCGATTTTTTTGAATTCTAAGTCGGAATAAACTATTTTTTAAAGTTCAGAGTCAGAAAAATTGATTTTTCTGAGTTTTAATTCGAAATAATTATATTTGCCCAGATCGAATTCGAAACAAACAGTTTTTCCGAGTTCTAAGTTAGAAAAGTCTATTTTTCCGAGTTGAAAGTCAAATAAATCGATTTTTCCAAGTTTTAATTCGGAATAATCTATTTTTTCGAATTCTATTTCGGAACAAACTATTTTTTTGACTTCTGTGTCAGAAAAATCGATTTTTCTGAATTCTAAGTCAAAACAGTCTATTATTTTTTCGAGTCAAATAAATCGATTTTTCCAAGTTTTTATTCGGAATAATCTATTTTTTTTTTTTTCGGTTCCAATTCGAAACAATCGATTTTTTCGAATTCTAAGTCGAAATAATTTATTTTTCAAGTTAATAGTAAAAAAAATCGATTTTTCCGAGTTCTAATTCGGAATAATCTATTTTTTCCAATTCTAATTCGAAACAATTGGTTTTTTCCGAGTTCTAATTCGAAATAATCTATTTTTTCGAGTTTTAATTCGGAATAATCTAATTTTCTTCAGTTCTAATTCGAAATAATCGGTTTTTCCAAGTTCCAAGTCGGAACAATCTTTTTTCCGAGTTGAAATTCAGAAAAATCGTTTTTTTCCTACTTTTAATTCGGAATAATCTATTTTTTCCCAGTTCTAATTTAAAACAATCGGTTTTTTCGAGTTCTAAATCGGAATCATCTATTTTTCCGAGTTCTAGGTCAAATAAATCGATTTTTCCAAGTTTTAATTCGGAATAATCTATTTTTTTTCGGTTCTAATTCGAAACAATCGATTTTTTTCAAATTCTAAGTCGAAATAATTTATTTTTCCGAGTTAATAGTCCGAAATTTTTTTACAATTTTTTACAATTGTACTTCGAAACAATTGGTTTTTCCGAATTCTAAGTCGAAATAATCTATTTTTTCGAGTTGATATAGTCAGAAAAATCGATTTTTTTGAATTCTAAGTCGGAATAAACTATTTTTTAAAGTTCAGAGTCAGAAAAATTGATTTTTCTGAGTTTTAATTCGAAATAATTATATTTGCCCAGATCGAATTCGAAACAAACAGTTTTTCCGAGTTCTAAGTTAGAAAAGTCTATTTTTCCGAGTTGAAAGTCAAATAAATCGATTTTTCCAAGTTTTAATTCGGAATAATCTATTTTTTCGAATTCTATTTCGGAACAAACTATTTTTTTGACTTCTGTGTCAGAAAAATCGATTTTTCTGAATTCTAAGTCAAAACAGTCTATTATTTTTTCGAGTCAAATAAATCGATTTTTCCAAGTTTTTATTCGGAATAATCTATTTTTTTTTTTTTCGGTTCCAATTCGAAACAATCGATTTTTTCGAATTCTAAGTCGAAATAATTTATTTTTCAAGTTAATAGTAAAAAAAATCGATTTTTCCGAGTTCTAATTCGGAATAATCTATTTTTTCCAATTCTAATTCGAAACAATTGGTTTTTCCGAGTTCTAATTCGAAATAATCTATTTTTTCGAGTTTTAATTCGGAATAATCTAATTTTCTTCAGTTCTAATTCGAAATAATCGGTTTTTCCAAGTTCCAAGTCGGAACAATCTTTTTTCCGAGTTGAAATTCAGAAAAATCGTTTTTTTCCTACTTTTAATTCGGAATAATCTATTTTTTCCCAGTTCTAATTTAAAACAATCGGTTTTTTCGAGTTCTAAATCGGAATCATCTATTTTTCCGAGTTCTAGGTCAAATAAATCGATTTTTCCAAGTTTTAATTCGGAATAATCTATTTTTTTTCGGTTCTAATTCGAAACAATCGATTTTTTTCAAATTCTAAGTCGAAATAATTTATTTTTCCGAGTTAATAGTCCGAAATTTTTTTACAATTTTTTACAATTGTACTTCGAAACAATTGGTTTTTCCGAATTCTAAATCGAAATAACCTATTTTTTCGAGTTTTAATTCCGAATAATCTAATTTTCTTCAGTTCTAATTCGAAATAATCGGATTTTCCGAGTTCTAAGTCGGAACAATCTTTTTTTCCGAGTTGATATTCAGAAAAATCGATTTTTTCTTACTTTTAATTTGAAATAATCTATTTTTACCCAGTTCTAATTTGAAACAATCGATTTTTTCGAGTTATAAATCGGAATAATCTATTTTTCCCAGTTCTAATTCAGATAAATCGATTTTTCCAAGTTTTAAGTCAGAACAATTGATTTATTTTATATTCATAGTTTTTTTTTTTTTTATTTTAGATCTGGAACCAAAACGTCAACGACCCAAGATGAGATGCAAAACAAACAAAATTCTCACCACCAAACTCAAATACCTTAGATTTGCACTGATAAATCTCCTGAACAGCATTCACCATTACATATTTTCTTTCGTCTTTACAAGATGCTTGCAAAAATTTGAATTGGATTTTGAGAAGGCCAATGATTTATCGTCTATTATGGCTTCCCATTCGGAATTTATTACTAACGCTAATAAATTGGTAATGGATATTAACAATTGTGAGAAAAACAAAATGGCATTTGAAAATGTGAGTAAACTTGAAATAACTTGTTTTATCTGTCCATAACGGTTTTATGGCATTTGACAATGTTCCATGTGATCTCATAGCCGAATTAATTCATTTATGCCTTCCCTTTAGCTTTACCTTGGCCTCCTTCCATAATTTCCTCTCGAAAAATCTTTTTTTTTTTTCAGTTGTAAGAAAAATCTATTTTTCCGAGTTCTAAGTCGGAATAATTAATTTTTCAAATAATAACTCGAAAAAATTGTTTTTTCCGAGTTTTAAGTCAAAAATAATCGATTTTTCCCACTTTCAAGTCAGAAAAACCGAGTTTTCTGAATTCTAAGACAGGATAATCAATTTTTCCGAATTCTAAGTTGGGTTAATTTGGTTTTCTGAGATTTATAATAATAATAATAATAAATTGCCTTTATTATTTGCTTGTAATATACAATGCACATAAACATCATGAGGCGAAGTCTAGCTTGCGCTACTCAACTTAACCTCAACATAAATATAAATTTAAAATAATCAAAAGGTATCAATCATTTACAATATAAAAAAAATAAGAAATTTAATATACAATTAATTTATGATTAAAAATGTTAACCCTGTATTTAATCTAAACTGAAATCAATGGAACTTAAAATACAATTAAATAAGGAAAAATGTTTGAAATTAATAATATATTAACGTTAACACTGTATTCATTGCTCAACTAATAGCAACGTTTTATAATTTTGTTTCAAAAATGTCAAAGAACATGTCCTAATTTCCCTAGGTAGACTGTTATATATTGAAATGGCGTTATATGTGAAAGATCTTTTGAAAAATGATAATCGGTAATTCGGAATCGTTAAGTTGTGTGGATATCTTAAATGTAAACTGTGCAGATCTTTCCGATATATCAATTTATTTTTTAAGTATATGGGAGTTGAGGTTAAAAGAATTTGAAATACCGTGGCCGCCATCTGATATTTAAATAAATTTCCTATCGGAATCGGAATAATATATTTTTCCGAGTTTTAAATAAGAAAATTCGATTTTTTTGAGTTTTGAGACGGAATAATTTATTTTTCCGAGTTCTAAACGTAATAAAAATCGATTTTTCCAAGTTCTCTGTCGGAATAATCTATTTTTTCGAGTTTTAAATAAGAAAAATCGATTTTTTTGAGTTCTGAGACGGAATAATATATTTTTCCGAGTTCTTAACGTAAGAAAAATCGATTTTTTTAAGTTCTGAGTCGGAATGATCAATTTTTTCAAGTTGTAATTAAGAAAAATGGATTTTTCCTAGTTCTAAGTCGGAATAATTTATTTTTTCGAGTTGTAAGTTAGAAAAATCATTTTTTCCGAGTTGTAAATAAAAAACAAAATATATTTTTCTGAGTTTTAAGTGCGAGAAATCAATTTTTTTGAGTTCTGAAACTGAATAATATATTTCTTTGAGTTATAAACGTAAGAAAAATCGATTTTCCCAAGTTCTGAGTCGAAATAATCTATTTTTTGAGTTGTAATTAAGAAAAATCGATTTTTTTGAGTTCTAAGACGGAATAATTTATTTTTTCCGAGTTGCAAATCAGATAAAATAAATTTTTTCGAGTTGTAAGTGCGAGAAATCGATTTTTTTTAGTTTTGAGACGGAATAATATATTTTTCCGAGTTCTAAACGTAAGAAAAATCGATTTTTTTAAGTTCTGAGTCCGAATAATCTATTTTTTCGAGTTGTAAATAAGAAAAATCGATTTTTCCGAGTTCTAAATCAGAATAATCTATTTTTCCGAGTTCTAAATCGGAATAATTTATCTTTTCGACTTCTAAGCTAAAAAAAATCGATTTTTCTGAGATCTTAGTTTGAATAATCTATTTATCTAAGTTGTATATCAGATAAATCGATTTTTTCCAAGTTTCAAGTCGGAATAATCGTTTTTTTCCAACTTTTAAGTCAAAATAATCTATTATTCCCAGTTGCAACTCAGAAAAACCGATATTCCTCATTTCTAAGACAGAATAACAAATTTTTCCGAATTGTAAGCCGGTTTAATCTGGTTTTCTGAGTTTTAAATCGAAATGTAGTTTTTTGAGTTTTAAATAAGAAAAATCGATTTTTTTTTAGTTCTGAGACGGAATAATATATTTTTCCGAGTCCTAAACGTAAGAAAAATCGATGTTTCTAAGTTCTGAGTTGGAATAATCTATTTTTTCGAGTTGCAATTAAGAAAAATCGATTTTTCCGAATTCTAAGTCGGAATAATTTATTTTTTCGAGTTATAAGTCAGAAAAATCATTTTTCTGAGTTGTAAATCAGAAGAAATCAATTTTTCCGAGTTGTAAGTGCGAAAAATCGATTTTTTTTCTAGTTCCAACTAAGAAAAATCGATAATTCTGAGTTCAAAGTTGGAATACTCTATTTTTCCGAGTTCTAAGTCAGAAAAATCGACTAAATATGTTTTTTGTATTTCTACGCTTCCGTAATTTCCCATTAATTTTGACAAAAATACGCTTTGAAATGTTTATATAAATTGCCTCATGGAACTATAAAAACTTTTTTCTTTGTTTTTTTAAAACTCGAGTCCCGCTTGTACTCTTAAATCCAGCCCTTTTAACACTTTAATCGCTTCTTTTGAAACATGCTCTCCATAAATTATTTGTGACTAATTACATCAAATCATTTCACCTTTACTGTTTTTTTTTTTTTAATAATTTAAAATTATTTCAGTTTAAATTTACAAACTATTTTGCAACTTTTAAACTAAACCCAATTTTTTTTATTATCAATATGCAAAGTAAATTATGAATGTAAAAAAGGGAATTATCCTGCTCTCCAATCTTTTTCTGAAAACAAATTTGGTAATTTTTCTTGAATATTCTCTGGATCTAAATTGATAAACTACATTGATAAATTGTTTTTGTAATACTTACATTTATTTTTCGATTTATTTGAATTTCTTTCATTTTCAGGTAAACAAATGTATCAAATCGCTAAAGTGCATGTGGGAAAACATAGGCCATGCAACGCCTGAAAGATTGTACCAAAATTATAAAAATTACAAGTTTTCTTTCGATGCAATAAATCCAGTAATAACACCTGTATATCTTTTCGATTGTTAACTATTTTAAATTAACAGGCTTCGACTGATTTTCTTTCTTATATTTATTTTTTAGTGTAAATATGTATATATTTTGAAGTATTTTTATTGTTTTGTAATAAATTATACAGATACATTTTTACTTTTCAATATTTTGAGATTCCTTGGATACATAGAAATTTTATATTTATATCCACCCATCTTTCTTTATTTCTTTACTATATTGTATCTGTAAGGTGAGGAGGGCACTTAGGCCTCACTAAGTCCATTGTGGATCCTTCTAAAAAAAAGATAAAAGTGAGAGTTCTAATACTGAACGTTGTGGTACACCTGAAACTATTTAGTAAGCTGTTAAAATTAGCTATACTGCCCTGCTAAGCTAAAACGTCCAATCTGACCTGAGGAAAATTTTGAGATATTAAGGATTTTATGTTTTCAAATTGTTAATTGTGAAAATATTTTTTAAAAGGAATAAAATGTTAGCACGAGTCAACTTAAAGCAATATAAATCAATACATGTATCATCCCTAATAAAAAGGTCTAAACTGCTTTTCAATGGTTTAATTAACGATCAAGTATTCTTAATTACAATGTTGCTGTGATATTGCCACTGTCTATTCGCGTACTGCCCACTGCGCTGGGCTGCCTTCTCCCGCTCGTCCATCCTGACACGCATTTGTGTATGGACTTCAAGAATGTGTGGTGGGGAGCAGAGGAACACCGCTAACATATATATTTTTTTAACGATGGCGCTGAATAAAATTGAATAGTTTGTCCTCCGAATGTGAATGCTTCGAGGACAGGCTTATTTGCAATTAATCTTTCTGTTTATCGACATAATAATTTATATAAAAATTACAATTTTTGTAACGCATACTCGTATAAACATCATCCGAAGAGGCGATAGTAACTTGTTTTTGTGTTCCAGATGGGTAATAGTTAAAATATTAGAACCATCTTTCATTTTAATTAAAAAACTTGTGATCTTCGCCCACGAAAATCAAGTACTTTTCGAGAACAACTGAACTACAAACTGGTGTTTGTCAACAATTTCGGATAAATAAATATATATTTTGATTCTATTCCACGAGGAATAACGTAATAACTCTCGCCCACTCTTATAGGACATAATATCGACGGTGGGTGCTATGACAGAGAGAAAGAAAAACAATACACGGCAATTTAAAAACTGACTCAGCTAAAGCTCAGGTTTAGGATTGACGTCTGGTCTCTAGTGATCTAATCAAATTACGTGATAGTAAACAAAAATGACAACCAAAATTCAGCGGCATTAAATAAATAAAAAAAATTTAATTAATTTAGGTTTAAAATTACAAATTATACAAGGTAGTTCTACGAAAACTTGGTGGTTTTTGGGGTTAATATCGAACATACGCTCGGACAGGTCGATTTTAGTTTGGAAGAGGCCGTTTTTTTATTTAAATTTTGTTTACTAAGGAAAATCTGAAAGTTAGTAAATTTTTGTATAATTACTAACTTTATTTTGTTGCAAGTGCAATATGGAGATATTAAGATTAATTTTATGTAATATACTGAATTAATAATAACATTAGCTTTCAAATTAAATTACTTACTTCCCAGCTAGCACATAAGCCTTTCGACGATGTTGCTTTAAGGCAGAGTTTTACTGGATCCGGTCACTGAACTATAAGGTCGGTGGATCCGGTAGCTACATCACTACCAATTTCTAAATCTCGAAAAAAAAAAGTAAAGATTAGATCTATCTATGAAAACTTGCGTTGTGGCTGAGTTTTAACGACGAATTAACAGTTTTCGAAAAAAAAAGGTTAGAATTGTTTGCTTGATAGGGTTAATTATTTGATAATAAAGTCGACTAAACAAATTTTCAATTAAATTTTAATTGATTGTGCTGTGAATGGATGTCAAAAAAGTAAAGTTAGCCAAACGAAAAAGTGACTCCATCCAACTTTTTTGAAATCTACAGTGATTCACAGCACAAGAACCAATCAATTCTCACAAATTTTATTTAGAAAACGTCCCATTCGGAGTGGTAAAAAGAAATATAGTATATTTACTTGTGTTGTAGGTATTTATTTAAATTTAAATACATAAATTATTACACTATTAATTATTATTGTTATAACCGTCGTAATCTAATTAAAATTAAACATTTATAACGTAATGTAATTTTTACAATGGTAATTACAAAAAAAAATATAATTTTAATGAGAGGGATATGTACTTGATGGATTGACAGCAAATTATCAATATTTGGCTTGAGTTTTGTAAGGAATAACCATAAATCTCCCCTTTCTGTGATATTTAATCTGCTCCTTTTTTTGTTAATAAGTTTGTAACGGCACTAAAATTTTTTTCGACGAGATATGACGAGAGAAACGCTATCAGAAGCTTTTGCACAGTCCAGGATATTTTTCAAGTATTTCTGCCTGCAGCCAAAAATTTTGATACCCTCTTTTAAATGTCACTTTTAGCTCCTCATCAAGGGCGGCTCCAGAGGATGAACAAATTATTCCGACAAAAGCTCGATCAAGTCTCAAACAATATAATCCCAAGAAACCTCATAAATGGGGAAACAAGGTTTTTATTCTAAGTGGGGTGTCTGGATTTTTTTACGATTTCGCCTTTTATTGTGGAGTTACTACTCTTGAAAATAATCAACCAGATCTAGGAGCAAGCAGCAATGTTGTTGTAAAACTTTCAGAATCAATTCCAAGAAATCTAAACTACAAATTATTTACGAGCATTCCTCTACAAATATACCTCACCAAAAATGGTATTTTACCTTTGGGGACAGTAAGAGGAAATTGTGTGCATAATTTCGAATTCCCTCAGAAAGCAGCTATAAAAAAAAAGAGTAGAGGTACAGTTATTGAACCAGTAGCCAATGTCGATGATGTGGACATATCTATTGTTTCATGATTGGATAATAAAATTGTGAACACCTTGACACCTTATCAACATATGTTGGGAGCAGGGTTACCAACCGTCCGTCATTACGACGGACAGTCCAGCATTTAAATAGTGTGTCCGTCAAAGCATAGTTAATAACCGTCCAGGTAGCCCAGAACATATTCGTAAATTTGTTAGGATTATAATTTACGAATTACCATACGAATTGATTATATTTAGTAAATTTATTATTACATTGCCAAAAGCTCAAATTTGGAACGCACTCTTTGGCAATATATCCAGTCAGAATCGGTACGCACTCTTTGGCCTTCATATCAGGTGGGTGCTCTTCAATGCTCTTGCTAGGTGTCCGTGCGTGTACCTGTGTGTGTGTGTGTGTACCATTGATAAGGCAACGTAAGGATACGTCATATGTATTATTTTTGATATACAAAAGTGGGACCGGTAGGCGTGGCTTTTGCACTCACTAAAATGGCGGAAGAGCAGAACCGTATTTACAAGTTTTTATTGTACTATTTCTGGTTAAGTATCATTATTTGAATTATAAAAAAATTATTTTCCTTTTTATTGACATTGACTTAAAAGGTGGTGGAAGGCCGAGGTTATAAAAGAAGGGGATTTAAAAGCTTAAATATGCCCGATTTTCAACCGAGAGGTGCTGAATAAAGTAAATGAAAGAAATAAAATATAACTGATTTAATTATCACTCAAGTGGCTATTAAGTGCTGGAGAATATATTATTTGCAAAATTGCAACTAATCAATGACCACTAACTTGGGGCCGATTCCACCATTGGGTTTAACGAAGTTTAAAATGACATTTTTACATAAAATGTAATTTTAATCTTCAATTAATAGTTTAAACTTTAACACAATGGTAAAATTAACCCTAAAGCGTTGAAATCATTCACAGAAAAAATAAATAATACCTTTTTGGTTCACATAAGCGACAAAAGTAAACAGAGTTCGATTTATTGGATCAGTCGTCACACGTTTGCACTAGGGCACATAAATAGCTCAATCTTTAGTTTTTCGTTTTTCTATGAGCCCAATGCTTTTTGTCTTTAAATCTGAAAGTACAAGGTCGCAAATGTCAAGTAATCTAACCTTACTTTAATTAACAGCTTTCTCGAAATTAAGAACAAATGTTCATACACTAAAAGCTCGATAATCAGATACGAAACTTAATGCAAGGCTCGCGGAAAATGGCTAATAAGCAATCTCTGTGTAGGTAGATGCACTGTTCAGGAAATCAAAATGTGGATTAATCTTACTTGGTCTTGGTACTTTTGTAGATTAAGACTGAAAGGTGTATATCTTCATGCAAGACATTCAGTAAATCAGCGAAGCCACAACCAGTGGTGTACAGGTGCACTTCTAACAAATGTAAAATATGAAGTGATCTTACTTGAGCCCTATAGATCCAATGACGACATTATGGTAGTTGGTTTGAGCTGGGCTTCTCACCATCTGCAGAGATTATGGCTACTTATGTAAAGGCCTACCGTAGTAACACACAACATGCACCACAAGCGTGCCGGTCCAATTTAATTGATCTATGCACAATAATCATGCATGTATGATTGAAGGTCAGACAAAGAATGTGAAGATAAAGTTGAAGTCTCAATCATAGTTAAAGTCACAGATGAAGTTAAAGTTAACAGCAAAAGAATTGAAATTGTAGGCTGGTGATAAAGGGAGGCCAACATCTAGGTAATAAATGTTTATCGAGTTAGGAAAAGTATCCACTGTAAGCGCTTTTCTTGACCACTAAGGTAAAAACCAGAATATTTCCTAATACACAGTTTCTTCTCTAGGCAAAATAAGAAATAAATTTGTGAGAGTACTTCCCAAGTGTTTTTACAGAAGCAGCTCTAAGAACAAAATTGACGAAAATGGCCTAATCCAAGTTCAAATTCTAAAACTTGAACATTAAAGATAAGTATCTTACTGTAAAACAAGTAAAATGAATGGTTGAATAATTCATTACCTACGTGTAGGTAGAATAGGGACTAAAGTTTAGCAGAAAAAGCCACTAGAAAAGGTGACTGGGGTATATGAACGTCAAGCAAATATTGTAAATGAAAATAATGTGTGCTGTGATTAAATAAAAGTGTACAAGGAATAAAATTTTAATATTTTCTTA